AATTAAATCGCGTTATTGTCGATGTAACAATTTTGCTATACATCAATATTCTGGTGCCGTTGTATTATTCTGTATACATTGTTTATAGAGGTACAAACTAACAAATAGAGTTTTAAAAAACATTTAGGGAATCTTCAGTTAGGGAGTAGACTCAAGCAGGCATAATAATAAAAAATCACGTTATATAGTAAGGTTATGGAGAAAAATCAGCTTATAAAGATAAATTAATATTTATAAATATTATTTTTATATGTTACAAACTCCCCAAAATATTATTCCATAAATTTTATTTATAACTAATTGAAAACTTCGTGGTTTTTTCAGCCATCAGTAATTTTAATGATTGATTTAATTTTAATTTGTGTTTGATGGCTCCAAAACTATATTCAAATCTTCTAGAATATTATGCAAGTAATGCTCCGAGGGGAATGTTTTGATAAAATTAATAATACATTTTTATTTTAGCTAATTATTAAAACAAATTAGCATTTATGAGGTTTTTGTGTTTTACCGTAATGTAATTGCATACATGTAGCATTTTTACATTATATATTGTTAACGGAAACCTTTAATTACAATAAACAGACTTGAAGAGGATTTTTTTTCAGTTGACCATTAAGCACATATTGGGTGCATATAAATAAAGCATGTTTACTTTACCGGAATATTAAAAAAACATGCACGTCATCTAGATAGGGTTATCACCATGTAAAATACTTTTGTTTATAGAAAATCCAATTGTAATGTAAATTTTTACACATTATGGAACTAATGGAATTCAAATTTTAAGGCTGCCTGAATAGAAAGTTCTTGCAATACCCGAATTGTTTCTTTTTATAATGTTGTGAAAATTTGGTGCCAAAAAAATTGTTTACGTATGACATCCACTCTTGACAATTACTTTTGGAGCCTACTGAAGAGTGCTCATTGCAAAATTGGTCATTTTATTGAAGTAGATGTCAAAAATACTTTACTGGATCTCAAGAATACGCTCTCGCTTCTAAGACATTTCAATTGCACAAAATTTACGTTACTCCGATGGCACTTACTAACTCTTAATAATTTGGATAGTCCATTAATACTTTACTGTTATATAGATAATTATATATATATATATATATATATATATAAATACATATAGGAGATCGGCAAATTCGAGGGATTTTTAAAATAAAATTTTATTTATATAATTTTATCTAATTATAGTATTAAATATATATCATTTTTCTGAAACGTAATTCTGCTGGGAGCGAACCCGTTTCGTTACTGAATTGATGGTTTACAAATGTATGTATAATTGATAAGAAAATGTCAATCATTATGCTCTTGGACTCTCGCATTTCATAATAAACAGCAATATTTTTAAGTTGATGAAATAATGTATTTCAAGTGTCATGTATATCTAAATCAGCTAGTATTTTTTTAGTAATTAAAAAAAAATCTTATCTTACAAAAAAAATAATTCCGAAGTTGTAAGTCGAAACATACTTTTCAATCACACATTTATAATGAACTCATCTAACTAACTGACATCTCAATCTAACATAATTCTCAAAGAGACCAAAAAGGGGCTAGATAAAAGAAACTTCGCCTTTTGAAGTTGTTTTTTTTTTTTGTAAATAACTTTTTGATTTTACTTATAATGATACAATACATAAGTTCCATACAAATGAATACATTTCATATATATACGATGTGTATTTGTGCATAAGTTACAGAACATTAAAAGCTAAAAATAATAATTACAAAAGCTATAAAGTTCTATGTTTAAAATATGTTTATTTTTAAATATACATTTTAAATTCATTTCCTTAAGGAATTGTTTTTATAACCAGTGGTATAAAATTTGTATTTTGAAAATAAAAAAATGTATCATTATACATCACATAATAAAATTTTATTTTCAAAGCCTCGAATTAAATCTACAATCATTGTGAAACTGCAACTGAGATTTCATATTTAGTTATATTTTCTGTAAAATGGCAAAATTTTTAAATTATTAAACGTATGTTACTTTAATGATTTCGTATAAAAAATATGTAGATATAACAAGTGAAGTCTTAAATTTTGTTGTTGATGTTAATTTGTATAAAATTATTTTAATTTCAGTAAGTTTTCATTTAACTTATGCTAATTTTAAAGTTGGATTATAACACCAAAAAACATTAAAAGAATTTATGATGTTTAATTTGGGATTTTAGTAAGATAAAACAATATAATTGCAAATAATAATGGTATGTTGCAATATTTATCGCTTTTTTAAATGAAATATGCAAATTTTATTGAGTATCTTTGAGAAATAGCGTGACTTTGTAGCGTTCAAAACATTTAAACACTATGTTTGGACGATAATTTTTACCTGTTTCAGACTGAGTTGGTATTATTTTATGAATATGTTAAAGTGTTTAATATTTTTATAAGTAAATATAAATAAGCATAAGTAGGGAGTACAATTTGCACTTATCTATGGAAAGGCTTATGCGAGAAACTTACTTCGACTCACAATAATCGATGTGGAGTACTTATGTAGTTTGGAAGATTCTGAAATAAGATGTTAGAAATTTTCTTGTACATAATTTCTTACTATTAAGACCCCTATTTAATCTCTATGACTAGTAAAAATATACATATATTTAAAGAAATTTCCTTAAAAAAATTGCATTTTCAATTTGCAATTTCCTTCAAAATTATTCAGAAGCTGTTTTTATAACATATATTTTAGATAAAATTGCACTATTTTCTCTAGTAAAAAACCTGTAAAGAAGGTAAAAATTCGATGGCTCCCACGTAAGTTGTTGTATGCCTCAAAATGCCATTTTGCTTTTATTCTGAAAAATATCGTATTAGATCATTATATCCATTCAAAGTAAAAAAACAACAAAAGCACTATTTTTAAGGGATTTGTCAGACGCATACCTAATGTTGAAATTTTCAAATTTTGCAGATTTTGGTTTAATTTGAATCTTTGAAACTCTCTACTGTAAATTTACAGTTTTGGAGATACAACAACTTACGTGGGAGGTATCGAATTATGATTTTTGTAAACGATCCAAATCGGGAATTATTCTGACTCTTGACATAAAACTTATTTCTTGTTACCCATTTTTTACTGTTACGTTATTTATTCCTAGGAAGAATAAAAATAAAATTATTATCACGATATAACATCTAAATTACTAAATTTATATTTTTAGCATAATTATGTAGCTTTAAGTTTTTTGACATCCATTGCAATTTAATTCTAGTTATAATCTTCTCAATACTTATTTATTATTAATAATCTCTTTAATATTTTATATTTGCAAATATTCTAGAAGCAAATTATAATATTTATAGTTTTTACAGTTTATAAGATTTTTCATCTTTTATTTCCGATGTGATGATTTTAAAAGTCTACATTTTTTATCTGTGAATTTTCAAAATGCTAAAATGTTTATTAAAATTATGTACTTATTACTATTATAGAAAGATATTTATCATTATCAGAGTTTATAAATGTACAAAAGGATTTTTTTTTATATTAAATTTCATGGAATGCTTTTTCATTCAATAAAATGAAGGAATGGTAAATTCGAGCAACCTTTATCTCGGAAAGTGAGAGGACAGTGGAAATTTTTTTAATGTTTTTACAAAGAAACTACATTTAAAAATCCTTAAATACTTAGTTCCACTTAATTGTGTTGTAGCGAAAATATTACACATAATTTCTTTATATCACTGAAGATGGAACTATTGGTAGGAGTCGTTGTTAAAAAAATTGTGTTTAATTGAAAGTTAAATAACATCAAAAGCCTTGACTTGATGTCGCCATTTCGCCATAGCTGTGTAAAGCAAATAATGTCTTTCATAAATAGTCAAATATCTTTATACATTCGAATACACTGCAGTATTGCAATCGTGGTGAATATTTCTTTTTTATATAGACGGATTCAATGTTTGAACGACTATTTTCTAGATATCGTAAAAAATTAATTAATAAAAATTTTCATAAATTAGTAACTTTAGTCTTAACTTTTACGATTTACTTTACCGTAATATTATTTATGGATTGTTTGAATACATTCGATTAAATGTTATTACTCATTACTATTAAATAATTAGAAATTATATAAGAAATAACACGTTTTGACATAGTTGATTAATCCTTCCATTTAACTTTTATTTAAAAACAAAATAAAATTTAATACACTCTCACTAAGAAACATCTCTTTTCCAGGCATTTAAACAAAAAGTAAATTACATAAATGTAATAATAAAATATGAAATTAAAATTCAAAATGTGTGTACTGAAGACATCGTTTTATTTTTAACCAAATAAACATTATAATAAATTTTCATTCTTCTAAGGTAATACAATAATACCGTAGGTGTTTGTCAAACAAACATGCAATATAAATTCAGAAAACTGTTTAGTTCATCAATAGTTTCCCAATAATCGTTAGAAATAATATAAAAACATCCATAAAGTAACACATTACAGCATTGTTTATTTCAGTTTAATTATCATCTAAAGTGTTAGTTGTTGTATGTTATAACATTCATCTCGAAGGTCGTACAAAACTAGTTTTTTTTTCGTTATCACAGAAGTTTTATAAGAGCCTCAATCAAAACTCTTCGGAGAGTTGAGAGTGATACTCGTTAATAATACGCGCTATATTAAATGTAAAAGGTAAGGCATCTTACGGATGGACGTCTTAAATTTATTCATTATTTCTATGTATTCATGTTTATATGAATTCATGCAATGCAATTTTTACTGATATTACTTGCGATTTTACCTAATACTTTTATTATTGGATGGTGAAATTTATTAATATTATTTTGTGTTGACTAAATCTTATTTAAAATTTAATTATTTGTGTCATAAAACTTTGTAAGTTTTTAAAAATTTAAATACTGTTTGTTAAATTATTTCATACATTAACTTTCTAATAATATATGAAAGAAATATAATTGATGGCTGCAATGTTTAAAGAAACGCTTCATACATTTATTCACAGATGCATATCAAAGATCAACATCCCTTATATCCGTGTTCGGAAAGCGATAAGCAAGAAATAAGAAGAGAACTAGGAATGAAAGAAAGCATACTCCAAGAAGATATTGATGCCATACTCGATTGGTTTAACAAACAAGCGCATTTGGTTCACGCTCCCATTGGTAAGTCAAATGTTTTGATTGAAATCGTGTAAAATATGTTACAGTTACCTTCTCCTCTCAACTATGACCGCAAAACACAATATTAAATTAATATTGTTTATTAAAAACTACATTTATTTTATATAAATTACGGTAATCATTTTTAATTGCATGTGTCAACTTTAACAGTTTTGTACTTTAACAATTTTAATTTAATCAAAAAATATTTAATAGATCTTTAAATAAAATTATTTTTATTTTTCTTGAAAGTTTAATAATTTAAAATTCGTCTTTGGTGACAGTTTATGAGGAAAGTATAATATTATTGTTTGTGGTTGTGTGATACTTTCACTTTATTCATTTGACCCAAGAAAGACGTTTTACCAAAACAGTATCTTTGAAAACAAAACGAAAGTACTGTAGAAAGTTGTTTGTCCCATAGGCTATGACAGCTTTAGCTCGCTTAAAATAAATTGGGAACCAATATTTTTGGTAGGGAGTGGAATTTTTTTTGATTCTTTCATATGATATCTCTGCGGACAGTATAATTTATTTTTCTTACTAGAGCGAGACCATATTGAAAAACTGCTAATTGCTACAAAGGGATCTCGTGAAAAGACAAAGCGAAGAATCGATAACTTCTACAAATACAGGTCCCAGGCACCTGAACTGGTTTTTTCAAGGAGAGAAGTGCTGACAAATCCATTATACAACGCTTGGTCATTTTAGTAAGTTTAATGTTAATACATAATATTTAATGGTCTCCCAGAATAATTCCTTGTTAGAATGTAACAAATCATTGAACTAGTGACACTACCTACGCTCATAACATTTTTGACGATTGCGGAAAAAATAAGTCCACAGGAAGCGTTCATCATTCACGATTCTCATTTCCTTTGAGATATACAAACGAGGTACGTCTTTTGGTTATGCCCATTTTAAGTATTTTGATTCGTTACAACATTCAATGAAAATAATTCCGGAGTATATTCAAATATTACCTTGTAAAGACGATACACGACAACAACAAATATACGAGTATATGTATTTCTTTGAACTGAGTTTAAATAAGATCAGTGCTACTTTGCTTTTGTATATTGATGATTATTATCATGCAGTAATTAAGGATAGAATATTCTTGCAAGTATCGTCAGAGTTAATTTTTCTTTATTATATAATACGTATTCACGGACATCAGATGTTACAAACAAGATAGGTATATCAAAAGTTAATGTTAAAAGGAGTGAAAGTAGTTTTATTTAGAATGTTGGAATCTCTCGCCCGTCACTCTTATTCAACTTTCTTGTTTCATGCCTTTTGACTGTGATCAAATACTCTAAGCATTATGTGACCGTGATTATGATCTAAAAATGAAATTGCAAGTCAAGAATGTATGAGACAATAGAAAGTAATATTCTTCAGAACGTAAGGACGCTTGAATTCTATCAACATCTATCTTTTATTTAATGTATAAAACAATTTACTTTCAATATCAAGAAGAAAATTTAATGTTAGAGAAACTAAAATGGGAAGATGTTCTTTTCCTCTAAGAAGCTTTAAGTACACAGACAAATCTATGGAACTTATTACTTACTCTCTTTTGTTCGCAATGGCTTCAAATCTCATTTTTTTAAAACCAAACATTTACTTTTCTTTTACGCTCATTGTTAGTATGCAGATTTTGTTTAAAATAAAAGCAAAAAAGAATCCTCAAGAAAAGTGACTTTCAGACTGCGTCTTCAAAATTATTTTGTGTTATTTATTAATGGCAACCATTTGGCTTCGGTCCAAGTTTAAGATCTTAAAACGTTTTTAGACACTCTAATATTTAAAAATAAAGTATTTATATCTTAAAGTGATCATTAACTTCATCAAATACTTATCCAATTAAGTTATGCGACCTTCATAGGACGTGTAAAATGTCTTCCGTAACGTATGCAGATATGAGTATCCGAAATGATTTATATCTATGAACCGTTCTTCATTATCGTACCTTTTTAAATACTTTTGAAACTTCCTTACATACACTGTTCGATTAAAAATAAATTCCTCCGCATAAATATTTTTTTTTATAGATCATTGAGTATTAAAGGATAATATTCTGCTTTTTATGTATAGTATGTGGGAATACAATTGATAAATTAGCTCTTTAAAATGAATCTCTAACCATTACGAACATAAAGTTTATTTTTGATTGATAATCTTTTTAAAATTATGTAAAGAAGATGCATTTAAAGATTTTCTGCAAATTTTGATCCAATGTTATCCGTGTGTTATGATGTGTTATCCGATATATGTTTTAAGAACATATTAATTGGAAGCTAATTATAATAGATTTCAGTCATTTATGAAAAGGCTGATAGTGATGTTTTTAATCTTTAATCTAGTAAATACTCTCATTAAAAAGAAGGCATTAAACATGTCTTAGTTGGGAACATGATTAACGCTCACTTCTTAGTGTTTAAGGATGAATTCTTTGTGGAAATTAGAATAAAAATTTAGGGTTGACTCTTGAAAAACGTATATTCCGTTGAAATTTCAAAAACTAAATAGAATATTGACTATAAACATATTAAGTATGAACCATGCTGTAGGTATTGTATATTTATCTTAAAATATTAAACGCTTTCAATGTTTACATATAAAGTCAAAGTTTGTAGTTACAAATAAAATAGAAGTTTATGAAAATTTAAATAATAGATTTACAGATAATTCGTTTTCTTGACTGTGTGTAATTTTATAATTTAACTTTTTAAAACTTATTATACTTCAGTCACCAAGCTGCAATGTTCGAATTATATGACAAAAAAAGGATATCCATATTTAAAATCACGGATCCAGATCCAAGCAATTTCGATGCAGATGTAATCTTCAGGAACACTATAATGGTAAGTATTGCTATTTTTATATACTTTATTAGATTAAGTAATAATAATAAATAGAAAGAACAAAAATGGTTAGAGTAATAAATGAAGATATAAAATAAATTTAAACTTAAATTAACAGCTGGGTGACTTGAGATTAAAATTTGACTATATGCTCGGGGAGATTTGGATTATGGACCTGGAGAATGTGTCCTTCGGGCACGTATTAAGAGTTAATCCATCAAATATGCAGAAATTTGTGAATATAATACAGGTAAAATTTTATTAATAAACAACATTAATAGTAATTTCCATAAAAAAAAACTTTCTAAAATTACGAATAAATAAAGCGGATTTTTTTTTTAATTTAAAACAAATATGATTATTCATTGTATTAGATATTTGAAATTTTAAACTACATTTATTTTAATCAAAATTAATAATTACTAAAATGTATCTAATTTTACGTTGCAGCTTCATTAGTTGATCTTATTAATGATACGTTAGCACTTAGCACACAAAGCTGCGCCGTATGTTAAGATTAATCAAGTTTAGAACACTCAAGTTCTAATCATAATCAAAATTCCGGTTTACAAACTATTATTTGACGAATATATTTTATTGAAAACTTTACTTTATTAATTTATGTATCAAATAATTTACTATTAATTTATTTTCAGGATGGTATTGGATTTAAAATATTTGAAATACATTTCATCAACATTTCAAGTTTCGGTCAGCATGTCATTAATTTTATTAAGCAATTTGTAAAGCCTAAGATAATGGAACGGTTTGTATGCCATGAAAATAGTGAAAATCTTCATAAGTATATACCGAAAAAATACTTACCGAAAGACTATGGAGGCGAGCAGCCGTCGTTAAATGATATGAAAGGTATAGGCCATTTAAAAGTTTTTATATTTTTACACTCATAATACATCATTGTTAGAGGACAAAATTTACATTCACGACGTGTTAAAAATAATTATTTTAAGTGCTATTGCTATTGAATCATATTTTAGTTAATGGAAGTTATGACTATTATTCTAATTTTAATTTAAATAATGCAGTGAATTTATTTCATTTTTTATATTCCTTTCTCTTTATGGTGTCAATTCTAAAACAATATATATCTTTTATTCCAGCTATTTACAGAAAGGAATTACTTAAAGACCTGTCAAAGAATTATCTTTTGGACTGTTGCCAGCAGCTTTCCGACGAAAGCAAGAGAATGGGAACGAAATTCCAGGAGGAACATTTAGTAGGATCATTCAAGAAACTAGAATTTGATTGAAGTTAAATATTTGGTTAAAAATTTGATTTTTAAAATACATTAGAAGCACTTATTATAAAATTGTAAGCATTATTTAATTATTATTATTTAATACAGATTATTATGTTGGAGTAAAACAAGTATACTCTCTATTATTTTTACACTCAACATAAGTGAAAAAAAAAGTCGTCGTACATATTTCATGTTATACAAGTTAAATTAATAGCATAAGATGAAAATATATATGTAAAATAAATATTTTAAGGCTGTGACCAAGATCTTAAGGGATATTGAAGGAAGTAACAATTTACATAAATGCTAACATGGTGTTGGTTTATTTTTATTATATTATTTAAAACATATGTTATTTCATTTACATTTATTTTTAATTCAAATTCATAAAAAGTTAATCTTTATTCTTAGTTCGTTTTGATATTTCTTTGTCCTGCATCAGAAACAACATTATTTGAATAAGTATAATATAAATAAAAAAGTACACTATTATAAATATCTGAGTGTAATTTCATTTATGAGAAATTATAATAATAATTTAATTGTTGTATAATAACTACAAAACGCCATTGAAGTAATTTGCATAGCAATGTACAATTGATGTATGTAACCATTGAAATAGCTATCATCGATGAATGATTAGCTGATATGTCAATGATACAATCAATCAGTAGTTAATTTGATATATGACAAAACAAGGACTAATTTAACTAGTGTATCATATAATACTATATAATATTACTATTGTTAGTAATTAATTAATTAGTTGTAATGTGTACAGACATTCTATTGATATAATTGCGAAATTTTTTAATGTTCTTGTGCTTAAATGTTTCATTACCATTTTCCAAATACTTAATAAACGTATCTTTTATAAAATATTTTAATTTATACACATAATAATGAATAGTGAATTTGTAACTAAAAATGTTATTTGATAGAGATCGCATTATTGCAGCTTTAGTTACATTAGTATTTATTGTTGGTCTAATATTTACATCATAAATATGGTGTTTTTGCGTTAAAAAAATAAGGGTTGGTATTTGGAAATTATGATCTTGTTGCGAATACGTTACGAAAACCCCTCAGGAGTACTATTACGAGTGCTAACAGGTAGCGTCTAGTTGCTAATTAGCTCATATATAGTTTTGAAACATGACGCCAGTTTGCATGTCTGTAACGTGAAATAAATCCTTATTAAAATTAACATCTCATTAAAATGATATTAAATATAACATCGCATGATAATAGTTTAATGTGTGAGGAACAAATAAAATAATATTAAACGACCAACAGCTTCATACCGATATACCAATATGTTATTAATGTCCCACTGACCCTACTGACTAGGCGTGGTTGTTTGTGAGTTATTACCTAAGCAGAACTCCTTTTGTCTCTTAGCCATTGACCGCAGACAAAGTTTATTTTATTGCTTTGTATTGAATTTATCTCTATTGGCTATTATGATCGCGAATTTGCTCTATCGTTCATCTTCATACGGCCAATTCATTAAATTCATCTTCTATCTTACTATACTAATTGGCTGTCTAAGTTTTTTTTGTTAAAATGTGTTTCAAAAAACACGACCCACTTATATAAGAATAACTATTGGTATCTGTCAGGATGTTTTTTCTCAGAGATGCATTGAGTTGTGTATCACAGTATCAATTTACAATTGAAGTATCTATTGCCAATTATTAAGAAAAATATTTCTATATCCTAGTAACTTGAAAAATCAATCCAATTTATGTTTTATATCTCAACTGAATCACAACATACGAAATGTTTTCGTTCATCTACATTGATATTTTTTAATATCAAAGAACTTTGTAATCAGAACAAGAAAAAATTAGCTTTTAGTTTTAATTTCGTATTTTACATTGTAAATTTCTTATGCTTAATTTACTAACAAAATACTATTAATACATTATAATTTCAAAATACTTTCAGAAATATATTATCTCGATAAAGTCGATGCATCAGTTCTAGTATACTTGTCTTCAGATCTAGTTTATCAATCACAGATGTTTAAAGGTAGGACCAGTGGTCGCAATTAGGTACCCAGTTTATTTCTATAGTTGAAATATTTGTATTCTAAAACATTTTAATACTATTTATTCACTTTGTAGACAAAGTACAAAATTTCGAAATATGTTTTAGCAAAGATTATAACTTCATTAAAATTTTAAACTAATTGCAACGTCGATGACAAATCAATAAAAAAAGAAGAGCTATCCTTTTTTCAATTCTATGTATTAAACTAATATTCAAAATATTTTTCTATATATTTTGTATCGCAATTATATTATTTTGATTGCCAATAATTGGTATAAAATCTAATTCTTTTTGTTTATCTTCAAGTACTTTTTATGAAAAATAAAAGCTTAATAGTTTTCTGTAATTAATTATATTAATATTTTCTTACAATATTGCTTTAGACAGTTAAGTTTAAATTTGAAGTAACTAAATAAGTTTATAGTTGAGAAATATTTGCATTAAATATTTGTTTATTCTTTGCAGCATTTCATTTTTCTTAAGAGACTATTTGTCCATTGCGGGTATCGCTTGCAATCTCGTCTTATCTGAGAATAGAGCGTCAGTCCAGTAATTTTTCTAGGACTTTATATTATAGTAGTGGTAAAGGAAAATGTCAATGAAATGTTGGCGTTACCTAATATACATTACAGATAATGTAATTTTAAAGAACTCTAAAATATACTTTAGTTTAATTTTTATAGTGTTTCAAATTTCTTCCATTAGAGTCAAATTATTTTCTTTAGCTATTAGCTTGCTGGCTATTGGTTTCAAATGATATATCTTTATGAATTATATACAAATCCGTTTCTGTAAGGATTCACAATTTTAGTATTCCAACTAACTTTTTTTATTGGAAAACTTTTATTTGAATATAAATAAAATAATAAATATTAAATTAATTACATATTTTCTGTTTTCATCTAGCATTTTGGATGACCGCATAAACTTTGTGCATATCAATATTTGACTAATACAAACCGGCTTGTTTGGTTGGCTCGCGATAATGCTAACACTTTATATAAGGATGTAGCTTAGCAAGCCACAGGAATTGAGTGTTGATATTATAATATAGCGAGGTTGTCGATAATATTACATATACTAGACTGGAGTACATATTTGGGAAAATTATATTTAGGGTAATTCTGGGGTAGCAGGTTATAAAAACATTGCACATGCAAATAATTTTTAAACCGTTGGCTAGATGTTACTAGTTAAAGTGTCATTGCACCTTATTTATTATTGAAATGTGTATGAAAGAATGACAATATTTGCATTTAAAAAATGCTTTACGGCTTTACGCTTCCATTTATGGCTTGAAAAGGTTTCACGATTCCTTGAGGAATAACACTAATTTGTCTGGAGTGCATAGGTTTTAAATATTTTAACAAGTTTGACATATTTTTTCCCTTTAAGACTGTTTCTAAAATCAATATTATTTTTTTAATTAGGCTCTTACTTACATCGGTAAACCTAGGATTATATCTGCATTTATATAAGATACAATGTGCTTTTCAACATTTATACATCTTATATGTATTTGAGAAAGAAAGTTGATGAACATCTTCATATATTTTTCTTTCGAATTGGAAGTATTTTAAATTGGATTTGGCAATTTTGATATTATGACTTCATGATATTTATATTTAAATATTAATTGTCATAAGAACTATCATGATAATTGACTTCAACACCAATGCGTGGTCTTTCTCAATATCGTCCTCTTCTGGTCACTATCACAACAGAGCAATTGTCGTGATATAGATTCGCAATTTCTATTTCCGTTGAAGTAATAAATGCTGCTTGCATGTGACATCTACAAAGATTGGTCCATCCCTACTTCTAAAAATTGAGTTAGGTTATGAAAAGTTTGGCATGAAGTATTCAACCAAACTGAAACACTCACGCGTGATACGAAACTATATACCTGTCATTTCCAACTTCATACGCAATTTATTCTGAAGTTCAGTGCTTCAAGGATCGTAAGCAATTAGATTAAAACAATACTTGCAATTCAAAAGCGAAAATAATTATTGTTGTTTATTGTGCTTTATAATATTCTTTGTATATATTTTTAAAAAATGTCCTTTCGATACATTTTCATTGCTGAATATAAGTAGATATGAAATAAGAAAAGACGTTTACAATTTTATTTACCAAGCAGTCTGCAGTCTTTAATCAGTCAACGTCATTCTTTCATTTCTGAAAACTTAAACGCCCCTACTGTGACACTAATTAATCGTTTATATGTGATATAATACATATTTATGTTATAAAAGTTGTTGAAAATACGTGTCCCCTTAATTGCTCTTGAAATTTGACAACTAGTTGTCACCGTTTTCGTAAAGAATTTAAAACATCTCATGCTATTTCAATGAAAATACCAGGAGTAAAATTATTTACCCATTATTCAATCTTTCATGAAAAACTGACATGCAATCTAGGGCTGGCTGTACAAACAAAAAAGCCGACCTTGTAAAATATTTACATGTCTTTTGCCCTTTCTGTCTCGCTATAATATATTCAAAGCTCGTACGCGTCGAAAATTGTTTGTATAAAAAAATGTTTACAAAATTTTGTGACCTTTTTGTATTTTTTCTTTTATTTCCAGGTATTAACAAGCGGTAAATTTTGTTTATCAGTAATTTTTTGTATGAAACAAAAAAAAATGTAATTAAATTATTTATAATACATGATCTTGGTGCAAAACGTAGTTGAACATAGCATTATTGTATACGACTAACCAGACACTAATGGACCAATAAGTATATATTCCACATTGATTATTATAAATTTAGATGGGTATCCCTTACAAGGATTATCGTTTCCATTACATTACTGTTTGAATAATACAATTCACCACGTTATCCAGAATTAATAATACAATTAACATCTATTAACGGTCACCAAGTATACATTTTTAATTTGTCTGTCTGTAATAGATATCCCTCTGTACCCTTTTAGTTTAAAATATTTTGTTGTTTTATATTCCACTTTGTTAAATAAATTAAGTACTACTTTAACTTTAATTGTAGTTTAATGGAGGATATTAATTATAAATTAATAATTTTGATATTTCCTTCGTGAAATATTATCATAGTTTATAGTGTTATTTATTCAACATCGAATGGAATCGAAATGATATAATATTATAATAATCTGATAAAATTGCATTGCAATATTTATTTATTATATGTTATAGACGTAAAATAAAGTATAAATTTTTATTAAAAACAATTTTACTATAATTACTTTTAATATAAAGCTTTAGAGAAAAATCAGACTGCTAGCGAACGATTGTAGTACAAAAATTTTATAATCCTATATGACAAATGAATTCGAAGCTTAAAACATTTTACTTTTCTCATATTATTTTATTAATTCTGCAAATAAAATTGTTGGCAGAACGATCCAGTTCCAGGAGTTTATAAAATCTGTTGAAGCAATATATTATTATAATTTTAAGGTATACAGTTCTAATATTAATAGTCTGATAAGATGTACTCGTAGTTAAATGGATAGCAACGTAATTATTTCAAAAGAAAGAAGTTTTATATTTTATGAATCTCATTTAAATAATAAATTTTAAGTCATTTACTAAACGACACCAAAAATCTTCTTAGCAAATTTAAATAAATAAAAAAAAAATATTCATCTAGCGGAGAGATATTTGCATTCCGGAATTTCGTTCCTATCCTGTATGTTACTATAAAATCTGTTGGATTTACGATTAAAGCGGTTTTAAAAAATGAATTTGAATTACAACCACAATTTTTTCAGAACTTTTAAACAATAAATATGTTGTAAATATTGATTTAGCGATTCAAATATAATTTGTTTTGCTTTAATAAAACCAAAATGGTATAATTTAGTTCTATAATTACTACAATTATTTTCAGAATCAAGTGTATTGTACCTGTAAAATAGGAATAAATTATACTTACCGTAATATATCTTGTATTTTACGTTTATCTATTTGGATGGGTTCATTAAAACTAATCCAAGAGCTTGGTTTACTTAGGACAAGGATAAAGAAATACGTGACGGCGTAGCAGCTCCTAAGAATTTCCGGCAGCAATACAGACTTTGTGTTGGAAATATTTTGATAGGAATTTCACATTATTTATTTTATGATAGTTATATTATTAAAAGGCAAGGCATATACTGTTTTAATGCTATATAACCATTTATTTTCCTTCATTATAAACAATACCAAATTATCATCAAGAATAGTCTCCTCATATATGAGTGTACTTGAATGTAGTCATTAAGAAAGTATTTATAGTAAGTAGCCGTTCTCACCAAAACCTAAAAAAATTGTATACTTACTTTTTGTTTGAATACATACATAATTTATCTTTTATGAGATTTTTTTCACAAACATTTTAAATTTAATTTAAACTTGCGTACCATAAAAATTATATCGAATGAACTATAGAGATGTAGTGAAAATGTTTAGTCAACACTTAAATTTCTGAATGTTCCGGATATTCCCATATAGTGCGATTTATTTACTGAATCTTCTTGTCTCAGGCTTTCATTTGTTCCTGCTTGTCTTATTTCCTCTAAATAACTCTTAAATTCCGTAGAACAAATATGTCGCATCTTTTCTAGAATGAATAAAAAACAAAAAAATATGATAAATGAAATGAATAAATATTCTACATCGATAAGTCAGCTATCTCTATTCGTCGTACTTGGTAATGTTGTTTGTTAATGATGTTGAACTAATATTTTATTAACAATTTTTTAATATGTGAAAATACTTACTGTGTAGTTCAAATAATGGTTTTTCTTGACCTCCGTACTCTACCGGCATAATATCTTTAGGAATATATTCGTGAATTTTGTCTAATGTTTTATGTACTTGGATTCTGCCAGCCACCTTCTGACTAGCTCCTTGTTTAACAATTGTTACAAGGGCATCAATGGCTTTTGATTCTGTATAGAAGTGTATACCCTTTATCCTCATACCATATCCCTCCTTTAAACAATTCAGAGAAAGAAATATTGAAAAAATATTTCCAATCTTTAAATTTTATTCTAAAGATGTATGAAATGTAGTGATTAACAACATCGATAAATTTTAAGGATAATTTGATAAACAAATTTGTATATATAAGTGAAGAATACTTTTTTACTGAATTTATGGGATAGTTTCTAGACTATACACTTTCAAATAAGTTTGCTTGAATTTTTATTCTGAAAATACTTTCGAAGGATTGCGAAATGGAGCTGACCCCAAAGAGTGTAAATATCTGAACAAACAACTCCTTAGATAAAAGTATATTCATCTTAATATTAATATAAATAATTTCATTGTTCAATACCAAAATATAACACCATATGATTTGTAAGGGTGTTCTCTTAAATATTTTCAGTTATCTAGAACATAAAGACACAAATTTTGGGATAAAATTAAATATAACAAGTAAATAAGATATTAATACCTTCATTATATCCAGAATACGCTTCACGTCACTTATGTTAATCCATTTCACCGACTCCATAATGTTTGCGTCGGAATAGTCAACGAAAATAATGAGACCATTGCAGTAGTCATGCGCTTGGACATATTCGCATTGCTGAAAAATTTGAAATCATTTTGATGAAAGTATCATTTAATTTTGCATTTATTAAATGTTTTATGTATATGTACTATGCACTATAAATTATTAATCTTAAAAATATACCATGAGGAAAAATCGGTAGAAATCTATAAATCCACTTTCAACTGTTTTCTTTATTTTGTTTCTGACAGCGTACACTCTGTAGTGATCGCTTGTTAGTTTGGGTAGAAAAGATCCATAACTGAAAAATCCAATACTGTTAATTACATATTTGTGTACGTATTATTTACAGTAATTGTTTTTAAGACATAAAAATACGCATTTATGATCCAACGTAAGTATCTTTTATTACATTAATCATGAAATTGAATATACCTATAAAATATAATTTATATGAACATATCGGCGTATATGAAAAAGAAACGCTTATACGAGCACTACTGAGCTCAGGAGCGAATTAGTCTTCGTAGAGATCAGACGCACCTACATTACTTAAAAATATTTTTAGATATTTATCATATTTCTATAATAAACTATTGAGATTTATATATATATATACTTACAAATCATCCAACAAATCGTTATCCTGAACATTAAAAACAGTAAAATATTCAGGAAACAGGGTCCGATAGGTGCATATACTGTCCAGCTTCTTTTTCGCCCTCTCAACAGAACCTTTGCTTATTATGATTGTTCTTTCTAAATATTCTTTTGCTGAAATAAATAAATTTGTAAGTAACTATTTTTACTAAAACTATGGAGTTAGATTGTTAAGAAAATTTATACTCATTTAATAAAACTTTTGAAGTCACTATGTAACTATTAAGTAATATGATAAAAATATCTCAAGAGTAATTTAACAAATTTGTTGTATTAGTCTGACACGAGTAGTAATTTATGTTTTTTTTGTTACTTATTCAATATATATTTTTTCATTCTCAAGCAAAACTATTTCGTGCAAACAAAGTCGCATGAACAACTAGTTTTATGTCAGTGCAGACTTGTCATGTTGAGCAATCTTAATGTGTAAATTAATTAACATAATAAATTATTAATAAACAGTTACAACAATGCTCTCATAAATTATATTCTTAATAATTCTTTCTTATAATTCATTTCAATCTTTAAGGAAAACAAAGGTCAGATTTCATTTCATAATCACTTTTATTGTATGTTTTGTTCTAATATTTGTGTTTATTTGTATTATTCTATTATAATATGCTGTATCACCTATTTTGAAGCGTATGAATAAATGAATTTGTGCTTATGATTAAATAGCTACTTAGGTAAGCATTTAATAAAAGTGCTGGTCACTGTAAAAAAAAATCTAGACTATGTACAAATATTGCAAGCAGTCAATACTTTTTTATTGCAACAAAATTTTATATTATCGTATATCTCTATTTTTTTTCTATTCAAAAATACTATTAAAGTTATGTTATAAACAGTAATTGCAACGATCCTTACTATACTCAAATTTAAAACTGGTGTCAAAAATTTGCAGTGGTATTTATTAAAAAAAAGTGATACATTTCCTTACACCTGTCCTACTGGGCGCGGTTTGCCTTTCTAACTACTTGACATAGTTAAAAAGGGTAAGCAACATTTATGAGGTTGACTGATAGCAATAAAATTTAGACTAAAATTTAATTTATCTAACATGGTAACTAGATTAATGTCCTTCACTCGATATAATTTGTTTTCTATTTGAACTAGTGGCACATGTAATTGGTTTAGGAAACACACTTGTAACTATAAATTTTAAGTAGCTTATTAGTCGGTTACATTATAAGCAAGCGAAATTTTAGTAAAAGCTTAGTCAATTATTTATAAAAGTGAACCTTTTAAAATATTAATAACAATAGTATTAAAATTTTCTTGTATACATAATTATAAGTTTTATTTCAATGACTGTGAAGTCGATGCAGATTATTATAAAACTTATATTTACTTAAAATCGATGATACTTACAACATTATTGAAAATATATATTCGCTATTCAGCACAAAGTAAAAAGACTTAAAAATGTACAAATTACAATTTATAAAATATAAATTTGCATAGTGGTTGACTTGTACAATAACGTTTAAATATATTTTAGAGCGCTATATTTAAACTTTATATTCGCACTTATGTTAACTATCGTAACATTAGCTGGGAAAACTTTTATATTTATGGCATGGAGTATCATGAACGGAATATAATTCACTTGTAATGATTTTTATTAATTCTGTTGGAAATTACAAAAATCATAAATTGAAAATACTTACGGAATTCTTTTCTTAGGAAATGCTTTTGTTTTTTGAGCCATTCTGACAAAATTTCAATTGCTTCTTCAATCCTGCCGGGTGTATCGAGATTGTACTGTTTTCTAAGAAATTGAAGAGTATCTGGATTAAATTCCAATAAAGAGTCTTTTGGTATAGATTCCATTGCCGTTTAGTATGAAGACAAGTTGAGAACTGAGGAGGTTTACGTTTTCCATGATTAAATAAACATTGTATTTTATTCATACCACTTTGACCTTTAAATGATCGTAAGATTTCCATAGAAATTACGGATTATAAACATAAGCATAAAAATATTTACGCAATTTATAAAATAAAATACAATATAATTTAAATAATTTTTGAATTGGCAAAATGTGTGTCGGTCGAATGAGAAAGTGCAGACATAATAAAAAAACCTGCACGATTTTAGTTTTTTTATTACATTATTAAATTTGATTACTATTTTAAAAAATATATTGATCCAGTAAAATTTCTGATAAGTTATATTTTATACAATGCTTAACATACTGTAACCGTGCTGTTATTAAGAAGGTAACTCGTATTAAGTAGGAAAAAATAACCTGATCACCTTAACCTCTCATCGGTATTACTGATTACTCTTTTGGTATTTCTGCTGCTGAACAGAAATATTTAAGTACCCTCAAAAGAACTATTTCAGAAGGGTTTAGGAGCTAAGAGAAGATAAAAAAAAGAATTAAAAAATGAGTAAATTAGGCTCACACCAGGAAACTTTCAACTTCATGTTGCGGGTAATTCTGATTTTAATTGTGTTTTGGTCTTTTGGTTAGTTGGAACTCGACTAAAAATTTCGTGATCATTAGAACCAAAGAGAGTGGAATCATTTAATACAAGCAAAGCATATTATAGAGTATTTGTGACTTAAATTTGCAATTAAATACAGAAAATAAATCTTTGTAAATGTGCGGTGGTTCTATTAAAGATGCTATTTAAGTTAAAGAAAACTTGACCATCATCCTCAGAGTAATGAGTGAGACAAGTAATTAGTTTTAGGCACCCCTGATATCACTATTTAGTAATGTGTTATGTAGTTAATATATGTTCTACTATGATAATCATTTTGTACTATTCTGAAATGTAAGAAAAGTCATGGTATAATACGGAACACCTTTCAATTTAGGTGGTAGAGCCTAGCTGTAGTTAATCACTACAACTCGAACATGGGCTGGCTCGACCGGGGAAGTACCACCCTCTCACAGAAGATCGGCGTAAAGTAGCTTTCAATGGCTGCGTTTCGTATGATGAGTGAGAGAGCCGGATGCCCTTTTCCTTTCCCCACCCTTCCCTCTCCCGGAATGTTGATGTGTGTATTGACTTTCTGTCCTACATTAGTCTGAGTTCGTTTTGAGGTCTTGAGCGTGTTTCATTGGCATGGGGTCCAGGGAGACCCGATGAAACGGTTTTACCGCTGGCCGCCCGTTGGTTCGTAGGGGACCCGAACCTAGACTGTCCCGATCTAGGAGGCTGTCCCACCGCCAATGACAAAAGCTCGTCGGTTGTTGACTGTGCCGGAGTGGGAGACCGGAGTGGAACCCAGTTTTCAACCGCGGGTCGGATCGGGGGCCCTTCCGTGCCTCATGCCAGCGACACACTAAACTCCACTCTCAATTCAGACCATTGGCAATGTTCTTTGACAGGATAGTTGATGGGCCATCAGCATTCCTCCTTCAATCCCATCTCCTGAACAAAAACTCAAATTTATGGCTGTCAGAAAAAAAAGAATTAAGGTTTTTACAGCGGCACCCCCTTCCACGTTTGTAGTGGACTTTTGCAACATAAGGGGTATACATTCTAATCTACATGCCGTCCATTACCACCTAGAAACGGCTAAGCCGGCCTTGTTATTTTTGACCGAGACGCAAATATACAATCCTCAAGACACCTCGTATCTACATTACCCCGGCTACAGACTTGAGCACTTATTTCTGCCGCGGGCCGGGGTGTGCTTATTCGTCAAGGAGGATATTTGTTGTCAACGTCTTGACAGCCTTGAACATAAGGACCTGTCAGTGATGTGGGTGCGAGTTTACAACGGTAGCTCAAACCGTGTCTACGCGTGCCTGTACAGGTCCCATAGTGGTAACACCGAAGTCGATCGTCTTTTTGGACACATCCAGGAGGCTACAGATTTTGTTCTCCAGCGGTATCCCAGCGCGGAGGTAGTGATCCTAGGTGACTTTAACGCCCACCATTGCGAATGGTTAGGATCACGTACCACAGACTACGCTGGAAAAGCCGCAAATAACTTTGCTCTGGCTTATGGGTTAACTCAGGTAGTTCCAGAACACACTCGGATCCCTGATGTTGAGGACCATAACCCCTCTTTGTTGGACCTTCTGCTGACCAGTCGTCCAGATTGCTACAAGGTGTCCGTCAATGCACCCCTTGGGTCATCTGACCACTGCCTGGTGCACTCCGAGACACAATTAGTGCCAACAACGACTTCCCGTCCACCTGGAAGATGTCTAGTTTGGCACTACAAGTCGGCAGATTGGGAAGGATTGCGAGAATTTTACGCATCCTACCCCTGGAGACAGCTTTGTTTTTCTTCGGACGATCCTTCGATCTGCGCGAACGCCGTTGCGGATACTATTCTGCAGGGAATGGAATGTTTCATTCCCAGCTCTGTTATTCGCACGGGGGGTAAGTCTCAGCCCTGGTTCGGTAAATCCTGTACAGGAGCGTTGCGCTCGAAACAGTTGAAATACCGATCATGGTCTGCGGCATTAGCTGCGAAGGATCCAAAAACGTCCGAATTGAAAAAGGGTTACAATGCTGCCTCCAGGTCTTGCAAAAAGGAGATTACCAGAGCAAAGAAGGAGCACGTTCGCAGAATTGGAGAGAGACTACTTGACGTTCCCTCAGGAACTCGATCTTTTTGGTCTCTCGCCAAAGCGGTGCAAGGCAATTTCTGTAAGTCTTCCCTACCATCCTTGCACAATCCTGATGGAACGCTGGCTAATTCCGCAAAAGAGAAGGCTGATCTTCTGTGCACTCTTTTTGCGTCGAATTCAACTCTTGACGATGGGGGAAAAGCACCGCCTACCATCCCGCGGTGCAGGGAAAATATGCGCAATGTGCGTTTTACGCAGAGCGCTGTGCGTGCCGCCTTGTCATCCCTCGACGTCAAGAAATCCAGCGGCCCAGACGGTATCCCAGCCATTGTGCTTAAGATGTGTGCTCCTGAATTGACTTCGGTCTTAACGCGCCTATTCTCACTCTCTTATACTACTGGTAAAGTTCCGTCTTCGTGGAAAGTGGCCAATGTCCACCCTATTCCCAAGAAGTGTGACAGCACAGACCCATCCAATTACAGGCCTATTGCGATCACTTCCCTACTCTCAAAGGTGATGGAGCGGATCATCAATACGCAACTTTTAGGTTATCTAGAGGATAACCAGCTTATTAGCGACCGTCAATATGGCTTTCGCCACGGACGAAGCGCTGGTGATCTTCTAGTATACCTCACGTATCGATGGGCTGAAGCCATTGAGAGCAAAGGGGAGGCCATGGCGGTCAGCCTAGACATCGCAAAGGCTTTTGATCGGGTCTGGCATCGCGCACTTCAATCGAAGCTACCATCGTACGGACTACCCGAGGAATTATGCAACTGGGTAGCCAGCTTCCTTCATGGGCGGAGCATACAGGTTGTTGTTGACGGTTCTTGCTCGGAACCCAAGCCCATCAACGCTGGTGTGCCCCAAGGCTCAGTGCTATCACCAACGCTGTTCATTCTGCATATCAACGACATGCTGCATACCAGCAACATTCGGTGCTATGCAGATGACAGTACTGGTGACGCTTATTACATGGGCCGAGCTAATATTCCTCGTGACCAAGTAGAAGAGAGCAGAAAGAGACTTGTGTCTGAAATTGAGACCTCCCTGGAGCAGGTCTCCGAATGGGGTAAGCTGAACCTTGTTCAGTTTAATCCCAAGAAGACACAAGTCTGCGCGTTTACCACTAAAAAGACCCCATTCACTGTAGCTCCAAAGTTCCAGGACATTCCCCTTAAGATCAAACAGAGCATTGGGATCCTTGGGGTTGACATAGCGAACGACGTTCAATTCCGGAGACATTTGGAGGATAAAGCTAAACTAGCGTCAAAAAAACTAGGGGTACTGAGTAGAGCGAGGCAGTACTTCACACCGGGACACTTGCTTTTGTTATATAAAGCACAGGTTCGTCCCCACATGGAGTATTGTTCTCACCTCTGGTCCGGTGCCCCACAGTACCAACTTCTTCCATTTGACTCCATTCAACGTCGGGCAGTTCGTATTGTCAACGATCCCATGCTCACAGACGATCTAGAACCCCTAAGTCTTCGAAGGGATGTAAGCTCCCTTAGTGTGTTCTATCGTCTGTACAATGGGGAATGTTCCGAGGAACTGTTTGATGTAGTGCCATCGTCCACATTCCACCATCGCACTGCTCGGCGTAGGGTTGGATTTCACCCACATCATCTGGATGCATTCAGTTGCAGGACTGTACGTGCGTCGCGTTCATTTTTTTTTCACGCACGTGCAGGATGTGGAATGATCTTCCGCCCGAGGCTTTTCCAGAGAGCTACAATATGGGGTCTTTCAAACATCACGTGTTCAGGTGGCTCCTTCACAAACAAGGCCGGCAACGCATCTACAACACCCCTTGTGTTGCAGATGTCCATGGGCGACGGTGACTGCTTACCATCAGGCAGGCCATCTGCTCGCTTGCCCCTTTGGTTAAATAAAAAAAAAAAAAAAAAAATTGTAACACCTCTAACTTTTCTGATATAAGTCGCTATTTATTATGAAAAAATCTTTATAATTTTATTTTCCATGTAATCTCGACAATCTTAGGCATTGTTACAGCATTTATTATACATATATGTGTATGTATGTATGTGTATATTGGATTTAAATATTCCAACACTTCTGATTGCTAAATTATACAATACCTTTGTAACTCACGTATATGTCATTGTAATCTGATGTAAGTAAAGTTAAGCTTCAATCATTGCTTTTAAAGTTTTACTCAAATATGTTTTTATATATTTCATTTCATTTTTCATCATATAAAGTGGTTTGAAAACACCCAGATCTCCTCAGACCCCAATAACCCTTATATCATGATTAAATTCTTTAGGTGGTTGAGGCAGATCAACTAAAAGAAATATTTGATAAGGTTATTTAATTATTGAGTATGAAGGGTATTGTATAACATTTTGTGCAAAAATAAACCTATATACTATGTAGTTAAAGTTCATCGTATAAAATAAATAGAAATAATTAAAGTTTCAGGATATATTTATTTGATTTTGTCGCTTCATTAGAAATGTTGCAAATTTGGTTTACTTAGGACAATGTAGTAGCACGTGACGGCACGTGAAGAGTTTTCAAAGCAATTTAAACTCAGGTTTAAATAACCTTTGAGGTTGCTTAGTTTGCTGTCGTCAGTATGTTTATAGGCCATTGCTTGGTAAATAAAAAAGTTTCAAACTAAGAACAAAAAAGGTACGTATGAAAAATTGGCATCGTAAATTAGTTAAACGAAATTATTCATAAAAAATAAAAAGCATTATTTTTATTTCCATTACCATTTATTTACGGAATTCATCTTCAACAAATAAATTTAAAAAATGCTACATTTATTTAACAACTAATTCATTTATAGGAGTTATATTAAAAAACAAGTTATTTTTTATGTAACTTAGTACATTTTTAGTCAACATTCAATTGCCTAAAAGTGCCCGATATTCCCAAATATTGGGATCCGTTGACGGAATCCGGTGATCTGAGATTTTCGTTGACTCCTGCCTGTCTCATTTCTTCTAAGTAATCCTTGAATTCGTTAGCAAAAACATTTCTCATTTTTTCTGAAATAATAAAACATACATTAGCCAAAATTAATCAAGGTTTTTAAATGCATTTACACATTTCTTCAAAATGTTTTGTTAAATAGAATAGATGGTAAATTTTTTTACAATTATTATCAAGTCAAGTTGTTGTAAGTAATAAATTATTAACTCTATTAGAAAATAGAATACCAATTTATATTCTTCAAATACGATTAGGCAGCAGCCCTAAGGACTGGCTGGAGTAATATATTCTAAAAGGTTGACGTACTTGGCCAATAATATAAAATCTGTCATTGGGGTCAGTACTCAAGACAACTTATAGTACTGGTTAAGTAATCCCAAACGTGAATGCACATATGTTTTGAAAAAATACAAATTATTTAATCTTTAATTAAATTAAAATGGAAAAGTAATAATAAACGGAAATATTTTACGACTTACTGTGAAGATCAAACAAGGGTTTTTCTTTGCCTCCATATTCAACTGGCAAGATGTCTTTGGGTATATATTCATAGACACTATCTAACGTCTTATGCACTTTATATCTACTAGCAACCTTAGGACTGGTCCCTTGTTTCATAATAGAAACCAGTGCGTCTATTGCCTTAGATTGTGTATAAATGTGAATACCTTTTATCCTCATTCCATATCCTTCCTTCAAAGATATATTGATTTATAAATTATTGTGCTATAGAAATAAGGATTATTAAAATTTGTTACGTAAAAGTTGAACCAAACATTATATATAGGTACGTTTATTATTTTAAAAGAGACTAATTAGAAGCTTCAAAATATATATGATTTTTTTTTGTTTATCCGTTGGATATAAAACACAGTAACCATTATATTTTAGACATTATTTTATTCAATTCAATGACTGCTTTTAAAGTGATTTCAAATATTCTGTGCTAATGACCTTTTCAATCGTTTTGAATATTCAAGAGTTTCTCAGCTCATTTTATGTATATATGTCTAGAAGTAATAAGATATATAAAATTAATAGGATTATTAATAATACGCTAAATATGATAGCTACATTTCCATCGGTATTTCAAGTTAAATCAACTTACTTAAATGAGAATGAAAATTTTAAAGAAACGATATAAATTTTTCAGTCAAGATACATACTAAAAAAAAACTAAATAAAATTATTAAAGCATAAAATATGTGATAAAGATATAGAGAAACTAAATATTAATACAAAAATAACTTATGAATTTAGGATACCCTCATTATTTCCATCAGACGTGACATGTCAGTGACAGTTATCCATTTAATCGATTCCATGATGTTTGCATCGGAGTAGTCAACGAAAATCACCAGACCATTACAGTAATCGTGAGCTTGAACATATTCACATAACTGAAATTAATAATTATTATAATTTTCTCTTGAAGATATAAGTTTTTTTTGTTGCCAAACTAAAACGTAAGTGTAAACTACTTTACAGTGATTCCGTCATCGGGATTACAATTGTGTATTAAGGCGGATAATATTTCTTCGATTGAATAAATTTTAGGACAACAATTTAGTAATACATCGTTTTAAAGTCCTTAAAATTTCCTCATAGTTTAAAGAAAACAGTACATGACAGCATTCTATTACATTTACAATTTGTCTTTTAGTAAAAAAATTCAGAAAATTATATTATGTCACATGTAATTTATAGTTATAGATATGGATAAAGTTAAATAATATAATACCATAAAGTAAAAACGATAATAATCTAAGAATCCACTTTCAACTGTATTCTTGATTTGATTTCTAACTGCGTACACTCTGTAGTGATCGTTCGTTAATTTTGGCAGAAAACATCCATAACTGAAAATTAGAAAATGTATTGCAAAAATGTGTATAATCTTACAGTAAGAAATTAAAAAAAATATCACAATACATTAAGATTGTTCAGACTGAGTTTGAATTTAATGAAATACTTTGTATGAGTGTGACCGTTAATTAAAATCAAAATGTGCACAATTCAGCAAACAGAAAGTAATTAAAATTACTATGTGATACTTTGACAAGTTGGAGCAAAAGGATTGTAACCCAGAAAAAGGTTCAGATTATACATTAAACTTTTTATTTCCCTCATTATAAGAATCATTTGAAAAGAATGGTCATTTTATAATTAAACATAAAATTTATAATAGAATATCTGTCAGTCAGCACCTCAGTTTTTTGCTAGTTACATCTAATAAAATGTTGAATTATTTTGCCGGATATAAATAAAGTACTCTTTTAGTTTTATATTTAGGTTTTGAGTATTATTAAAAGTAAATGCTTACAAATCATCCAGAAGTTCGTTCTTCTCAACGTTAAAATAATTAAAAAAGTGAGGATACAAAGTTCGGTAGGTGCATATACTGTCTAATTTTTTCTTCGCCCTTTCCACGGAACCTTTACTTATAATTATTGTTCTTTCCAGGTAATCCCTTGCTGTAATGAATCAAATACTTTAATCAAATATATAATAATACCCTAGTGGCAATCTTGTAGGTAAGTAACTTTATAATTTAAAGAACAGATGTTTATTTTTCTTAATAAGCAACTGAATAGAAATTGCGTTACTTAAATTTATTTTATTATGTGTGGTATTAAAACTGCATTCAAAAGTAATCAAAAATAAATATTACATATTAAATAAGAAAACCATAATGTTATAACGCATTCAGCTTAAATAACGACCTAATATATTAATTACAAATACTCACGAAATTCTTTTCGAATAAAATGTGCTTGTTTCTTCAGCCATTCTTCTAAAATATTAACAGCCTCTTCAATTCTTCCAGGTGTATCAAGCAAGTATTGTTTCCTTAAGTATTGCAGAGTGTCAGGGTTAAATTCTAACAGCGAATCTTTCGGTATGGACTCCATTGAAGGCTAGATTGATACGTGAAGGAAGACAAATGACGATACGTCCTTTCAGATCGAATAACGAGCTGAAACTTTGTCCGGCACATTTTCGCAAGGACTTTAAATAAACGTTTATTGCGTAATTATTGCATTTTAAGTTTATGAATCTAAATTACAAGTACCGCTACAACTCATGTTAGACTGCTTTCTAAAACATATAGTATTAATAAATATATTCTTATTTATAAGTCATTACTTTTTGACTGAAATTTATTTTAGAATTGTTTGCAATTTTGTGTAAAAACAAACTGGTACTAATGATGGCCATAAACATGAACTAAGATTTTATAGAGTATGTTACCTCAAACTACATTTTCCTTTAATAAAATAAAGTGTGTTATAATTTCTTACATTTTGCCAATAAGTACACAGTGAATTTTTAATTAAATGAATAATACCGGAAGACTATATTGGTTACTCTGTTCTCAGGCTTGGTAAAAGAATGTATATTTATCTTCGTTTCTAGTTCTACCACTCCCGTAATTGAGAAGCGTGGTGCTCTAAGTTCAAAAGACCATTTTCAATATTAAAAACGAGTGCTTTCGACCTACAACTCTCAACTATATAGGCATAATTTTATTTATAGAGATCAATATATCCATCCAAGGAAGCATTACACGTACAAATTAAATATACTTGGATACAAAATCCACCAGCATTTTTAAGGGTCACTACCATTAAAAGCGCCTTATAAAATAACTAATTCTCGTTTTACCATTTTAGAACGTACACACTTAGTGTTAGTTTTGCGTTCAGTACGTTGCTAAATACATTAAAATGGAACTATTAGCAGAATTTTTAAAGTAATTGATATAAGTTGCTAATATAATAATTTATTTATACAAAGCTTGAGAATCATTCGTTAGGCCAATCGCTTTTATAAGTATCTTAAAGAAAGGTTGTATAATTACTGAACTATATTTTAATATGGATGTATGGATACTATTGCCGTTCTATTACATCACAGAACTGTATAAATTGTATGCATTAGGTGTATTGGGTGCATTTCCATGTCAATATATAAAGCATAATAATTAATTACATTATTTGAAACATCATTTAAACTTTATTTGTGTCCAACAACTTGCAGACACTGACTAACGCTGCATTTTTATCATTTAGCATATTTATAAAATAAATATAATTTTTGAACAAAAAATCTGTTAAGATTTTGAACAAAATCTGTATATGGTAAATATTGTATTTCGCTGGTTACACCTAGTTATTGAATATATATTTTCTTTTATATGAACTAAATATGTTTTTATGAGACACAACGTTCTGAACTATATATACTAACAGAATATGTTAGTTTTGCCAAAGTAATAAATAACTCGTAATGTGTTGATATCTTCTATATGGTTCTAAGGGCCCATAAAAGGGAGCAAAATATGTCGGTGACAGTATCACGGAGATATCCTTGTTAAAATAACTTGTGATATGAAATTATATTACTCTATTTATATAATTTGTAGGCAAAGATCGAAGATGTTTATTTTTATGGAAATTTATTACAATATGTTCGAGTACGTTTCTCATATTTTGTTACTCAATACAGATAAGCCACATAATTTTAGGTTCAATTCTATTATTACAAGCGAGACATGAGATTGTATTGTGACAAATACATAATATGTTGTATGATTAATTAAATTGAAATCTCACTGTAGCTTCTATACTTTATAATTAACTTACTTGTGATTATTTTCAATGCGATGATAGTACTATTTATATGTTTCCACTTCGTCGTGAATTAAGTTCTAAATTGTTAACGGATAAAACTTTCTTAAATATTCTATTTTATTATAATATTTATATTAGTTGATCAATAACACAATAGAAATAGTTATAATTTGATTCTCTGATGCAATAAACTCAAGGCTTGTTAGGAATTAAATTATATGTACGAATTCAATATACATACAAATTCAATTCCATTGGGCTTAACAAGGCTTCCACGCCCGCTGTTAGTACATTTATTGCGAATGAGGTTTCAGATGCATCGGTAATGTTTAATGCAAAAGAAATTCTCTGTGTTCAATTCTGAACCAAAATAAATCACTTATATTAAATAACGAATTTTATTAAAACTAGCTTCTTCAGATATTTATAAAATTTGCATAAGTTTTGGTACTCTAAATATATACGTCAGAACCCAAGCATAATGACGTTAGTAATCCTTATGTATAAGACATAAATAGAACATTTCACCCTTTCTTTCTTTGGAATAAAGACATCATACTCGTATAATGTAATACAACTTAGAAAATATGATAGATGAAAGTATATTGTCTTTTCAGATCTCCGTAAAAATAAACTTTTCACATACATTCTTATGAGTTGAATTACAATATTACAGAACTGAAATAGGGACAGGTAGATAAATTGTCGTAAGTTTGTTGTAACTTACACTCAGTTTTATAGAGAAGAAAAATAACTAAACCACCGATAAACGATATCCTTTATGATTATGCAAAATTTTAATATTCCTTAATATATTTATATGGTATCTTATGTTTTATATTTAGAAACTATTTTTTATTATATAAATGGCAGTTTTTTTGTTACTTTTTATGTTTTTTTCTATTTAATTTCATGTAATTTGTCTTAATATTGACAAATTTTTGTCATCAAAATATTGAGTCCTATATACTTAAGCTGTTAATACATACATAATTCAAAAGGCGTTTTCTTCTATCATTAAGTTCAAAATAAAATTTATAGCCACTATAATGTTAAAACATTAGTTTTATTAATCTTATAAAATCACCTTATTAGCATAATACATTAGATAATGTGTAGTAATATATGTTTTATATATAGTCATTGTTTGAATATGGTGAACGTCAATACTCTGTAAAGTTTACATTACATTTCATTTGTGAATGATTTCTTATTGGCACAAGCATTTGCAACCATAATACTATTTTTCATAACTGTATAAACAATATTTTTCCAGCTTTACAGAAATTATCAGCGTGTCTGAAATAGCAGTTTGATTAATAAAAAACTAGGAAGATATTGTAATGGATGAGATATGCGAAGAAACTGGTGAGATACCATTAAACTTTAAATCTTTTTTTAGAATCTAAATTGTTAATGGAAATTTCTTAAGTGGATAATTACTGACATCATTATCCTTTATGTATCAGCTATAATAAGTTATTTGGTGGATACAGGCTTCCATTGCAAGCCACTGCATTCCAATAGAACCTCTGCTCCTGTGACCTATTCTACTCTACTTCTTTTTATTATTTGCAAAATGATTCCAGAGGAGGCTCCCTATTATAAGTCTGCCTGCTATTCCTGACTATGGCGGCAATATTGCTTCAGTTGAGAACGATGGTTCGTATAATCCACGGTCTATTAGGGACGCTAACCCTACAAAGAACAAGAGATTTTGGATAGGTATAACATTCGCAAGCAGTCACAATGAACATCTTTAACCAGCTAGGAGTATGAGTTATTATTATGGTATTATTTTCTGGTATAAATATTTAATTAATTTTATTTTAAGGCAGCGATACAATAAAAAGTGTAATAAAACGTTTAAATGTCTTTCAAAGACAGCTGGTAAATAGTGATGCATTAAGCGCGGCTGGTTTTTAAATTATGACTTTTTAATTTTTAATAAGCGATTGATATTTAAAAGAGTTCCGATATAGTCTCGAGTTCACTCTCCTCTTTTCAGTTATTCTTATCCTGTTTTAATTTATGATTGCACTACCTGTAACTATGCTCACAGTTAACATCAATGCACCCTAACGACATGCTTTAATTTTCAAAAACCGTTATTAAAATTTTGTAGGTTGCCTTTGTCGAAATATGGCCCAGTACCTTCTATTTATTTGTTTCTTTCTAATTTAGTAAATCTCTTTGACAAACAAAGAATAAATATTTCAATATACGAGTGTTGGCCCTGAGTATTCTTTTATTATAACATATGATCTGTGTTGATCACAATGCAAACGCTCAGTTAAGTGAAATCACTATCTTTGCCGTCAAGGAATTCAAACTATTATTTTTTTTAAAGACCCATTTTATTACCAATTAATTATTATTTTGTGAGGCGTTGTGAAGTTCAAACTGTATAAAGCACAAAAGAGCTGTAACCTTACCATAAGTTCACATAGGAAGCAAATCACTGAGCCCTTTCAAGTTTTCTTAATTACCTATTCAAAAATGACACCATCAACATAGGTTTACAAAATATAAACTGACAACGCTTAGTTTTTTGTCTCACGAGGCGAACTTGTGGTAACAGAATTGCTCAACGAAGCATAGAGGACTCGTCGTGATTGTTGTGCCTACCCTCAACTAAGCTTAACGAGCAGTCGGATCATGTTGTCGGACGCTTGGTGTCCATTTTGTATGAATATGTTCATCGGTAGTTAAAGAAAATATCATACTTTGTCTTTCATCCTGCAATATCATTTTATCTTTTCTTGCAAAACTTTAACCAAAAAAAATTAACGTTGACGTCTTCTCTCATCACTGTTATTATCAAAACTTTTATTAACATTGATCTCCAAAACAAGGAACTGATGATAAATTGGAATGTAAGTGTACACAGTTTTAACCCCAAAAAGTATGTTTAAGTTAATCCATTACTTATAAAAACGTCGTGCCTAAACGGATTGAAAATATTTTTTGTTCAAAAAAGTTAAATTATTTTGAAAAGGCGCAAATGATTGTCTTTATAGCAAAGAAGCAAAATGAATTAAATATAATATTATTATGTTAAAAAAAATGTAACATGCATCCAAAATTATCGAAGAAATTCAATTTTGATCTTTCTGTTGGACAAATATACTTAAAGTGAAATAAAAATATATTTACCATTCAAAATGAGACACGTAATTCCTGTTTTATGTTTTATACATTTATTTTATACAAAATTACATTAATTTAAATCTAACACCACAAAACAAAAAAAAGGGATCATATAGTTTGGATCCACAGTTAACAATATACTAGCGTAATAAAATATCAATAATAATTGATTTGGAAGATGTAGAAAGTACGAAACTAAAACTTCAATAAAACCAAAGCAATAAAATATTCTTAATTATAACTGTTCTAAACCTGTCTATTAATCTACAGTTAATTTTCTAAAAGACCCAGGCATTCCTAAGTATTCTTCGTTGAATTTCATTTCTGATCGTTTTGATTCATCCGAAACAAATTTGTCAAATGTTTCACCGACTTTTCTCACTTCATCTGATTTTAGCATATCTTTCCATTGGTCTAAAAATAAAGAAAATAATTATTTTATAATTATATAATAAAATTTTTTCGTATTTAATTTACAAATTTTAAATAAACACACGTACCAGCAAGTTTTGATAGGCTAGGTCCTTCGCCATCAAAATCTTTGGGTAGAATTTCTTTCGGAACTTGTTTATGGAAATCTTCATATGTAGTATGGACGGTAAGCCTGCTTGCCACTTTTTCCTTAAGACCTTGTTTAAGTATGTAAACTACTCTATCCACAAATGGTGGAGCATTTAAAAGATGAATTCCTTTTATCTTAGTACCGATACATTCCTAAAATAATAACCAGAAGGTAAATAAATAAGAAGCATGATAATTTTCTATTTAAAAATCACGTTTTAGAATATAAACAATGTAAATCCAAGACAAATAGTTACCGTGCATAAAATTTCAGCTTTCTTTAATAAAATGGGATTCAGTTTGGTTAGTAAATTCATGTTCATATTTTTCAGATCTATAACATATCTGTCGGCTATACTGTAATCATAACCAATGCGATATTCTCCAACCTAAAGTAACAAAAACAGAAAAAAATATTTATACATACAAATAACTGTATTTGTATTTTGTAGCTTTTGAAGTTTTGTGCAATCAATTTCTTAAGACGTATAAAATGGAAACAAACTTACGAAAAAACAAAATCTCAAATAAGAGAGAAGTGAGAAATTTTCCGATTTGTCTGATATGATATGAGTCACCATCACTCTTGAATTATCTTTTGGATGTAGCTTCGGCAACGGGACATAGATCCTAAAACGTGGAAGTAAAGTAAAGTAAAGAAAAATTATTTTTTATAAATAATGTTTATCGAATTTAAATATTAACAATCAATTAAACGTTTTTAACGCACAAGAAATCCAGAAGTTTGTCAAATTCTTCAATTCTTTTGTTCAAAGTCAGCTCGGGCATCATTCCCCTGGTTGTGAAAAATTTTTCTATTTTTAATTTCGTTCCCTCTACAGAAGCTCGAGAGAGTAAAAAAAGTCTTTCTAAAGTCTCACGATCTGAAATTAAAACGTTAAATTAATCAAGGCATGATAGTGCAATTCCAACTGGTATATTAGATAATTACTATATCCAAACAATTGTCGTATAACATATAGTATAATTTATATAATATTAAATCTTTAAAAAAATATATATGCGATGATATTTTATTAATGCTAAGAAGTAATTATTTTACGAAAATACTTTTAGTCTATGCTGAAGATAAGAATCTGTGTTATTCAATACGGAAAGCAAAAACACAGATACGTGGAGCAATTAATGATGTTTCTTTTGTATTGAATCACGCAACATAGTTTTAATGCCTTAATACGGACAGGACCAGTTGTGTTGTAATTATATTATTTGCATCTAACAGAGGTGGATCGAAGAAACTTGTAATAGATTTTGTATTAGATGCCGAGTATATAGTTAATATTAATATGTAATAATATAGATATTTTATTGAAATAGAAGTCAAATACTGCACTTTTGCTATCAAGCTTTATCCAGTTTATATTTAAAAAAATCATGTAATAATATTTCCCAATATATATTCCGATCACGATTAAAATTTTCAAAATAAATACACTTTTGAGCTGAATGTTTACATTTATGTTCGGGAGCGAGGTTGGTGTTTTTTTCTTTCAAATCCAGCAAACATTGGATATCAAAAACATGTATGTATGATTTTTAGCATTCACTATTTACTCGTATATTCACTGATAAACATTAAAAAAACAATATTACTTAAAGATAGGATTTTATGTTGTAAAAATATGAGTTAATCAGTTTTCCCTTTGACTGTTCCACGTGCTTTTATACAAACTTACTTACTAACGAACATCTTCCTGTATGTTCTCAAAGTGTTTCTTTTTTATGTTGATGAACAAAGTTCTCGGAACTACGTTCAATTTTAAGTGAAATGAAAAAATGTAAAAGTTTAAACAGTCCATAATTAAAGAATTCTATACGAATTAAATTTTATTTCAGTGATTAGCAGAAATGTATAACATGAAGTATTTATTACCCAAATGTCGACCGGCTTCAGACAAATGATCCTGCTTCTTTATCCATTCTTCCACTGAGTCAAGGCTTTCATTTAAAACTTTAATGTTTTCGAGACCGTAGAATTTTCTGGTGGATCTGAATTCTTCATTCGTAACTTCTAGAAGTGGGTGGTAGGGAACGGCTTCCATATTGATTTCTGAAAAGTCAAATTTGATTAGAATTTACATTTTCTTATTATCTACATCACAAGATATAAGATTATTATAAGTATAAATATTTAAAGTTATAAATGTGTAAATAATTTGTTAAAGGATAATACATTTTTAAAGGAAATTACTAGATTTTCAAAAACTGTAAATAAATTACAAGAGTTATTTATTGTTAAGATTTGAAAAATAAATCAGAGTATGACAATAAAAAATGTCTGTTTTCCAAATCCACATTAAAATAGCAATTATTCTGAGTGGTAGACCTTTGCCTTGTTAATTTACTCCGCTATTACGAGATTCCACTGTTTCTTTTATTATGACATTGTAAAACTCATATTTCAATGTTGCAAAAGTTGATATATATTTAATTGTAAATATTGTAATTAAGACATTTCATTAAAAGGTAATCGATTTAGCAATATTTTTTTACTTAAATAAGTATATTTAAGAATGAACAAAAATTATAAGCAAAATGTAACCTTGAACTAAATAAATCTCAACAGTCTACAGAATTTATTCATACATGTTTAAGCTATAATGGGAAATTGAATAGCGTATCTTACATACAAATACAATATATATATATATATATATATATATATATATATATATATATATATATATATCACATATTGTTTTATAGATGTTAGTTTAAATTTCCTTATGGTGTTGACCTTTTTATTAAAAGATTCTGTAAATCACAAAACTTCCTGTAATTAAACATAAAAAAAAACGTGATTACCTTGAATTAGATGAAGACTAAAAATTTTACCCGACAAGGCCTATTGCGTATTTTTTTTAAATCAATTAATATTTTTTTACATATTATTGCATAATTTAAAATATTCTTCATTCGCTAAAAGTTCCGGCATCCTCTCTGATAGATTGCTTCCCGGTATGAAGTTGAGAAAAAGATTATATTGGATAGTTTAGTCGAGGGTATGCTTAATAACAATTAATAAATCGATTAAAACAATTTCAAAATGAAAATAATATATAAATATTATATTGAACTTTTATACCCATGATATTTGTAGTTAAAAATCATATTATTAATTATAACAGTTAGGAATTATTAAGGAATATTTTACATGAAACTATCTAAAGTCTTACTATGTATAATTACTCTTATTTCTTGTAATAAATAATAATATGAAATTTTATTATTATTAATTACAATTTTTTAATTAGTTGTCCTTCAACAATCTTTTAAAGTTCTAGGGCTATTGTGTTAACTAACCCAAGTTATGTATTAACAATGATAAATGTTACATTACAATTTTATTTATTCTACAAACTTGATGTTATAATGATAGTAAATTATAGGTAATTATCTATTAATGTTTTTTCTATATTTTTTATTCCTTATTAATTTGTTTGCTGTGTGTTTCAATAATATAATAAGACGGACACAAGACAAGATAAAAAAGGATAACAAATTCTTAAGCACAATTTTAACCGTTTTTATATATTAGTATGATTTCTTGGATTTTTAAGATTTATTTATTTTAATTCTACGACTTAATTTAAAGTCAGTAGGTACAGGTGCATAATATGTACATATGTACACTGTTGTTGTTTTTCTTAGACTTTAATATGTTCGTGAAATAGGAAAAAATATGTACTATCGATACATACTTTTTGTGTTTTCACAACAATACAACTTTGGCTGAGTAATTTAAATATGCGAAAAACATGAATTAAACATGATAATAACATTTTTACGTTTGTATTTATAAAGAAAGGATTTCGAAATATACTTTTCTCTTCGCATCAATTAATACTCTTTTTCATAACACATAAGTGAAATAAGATGAAGAAATTATAATCGCAACTGAAACGACATAAAAATTAAATTGGATCCCCATAAGAATATATAATATACATATTAAAGATTTTTTAAAAATATATCCGGTTACATATAGTGGATTTTCCAACTGCGCTCGAAACAAGGACATACTATTACGACACGATAAAAATGATTAAACGAATTATTATACAGATTTAAGTTCAACAAATAGACCGTGATGCTGTATTCATTATCATAAAAAAATATTTTAAGCGTCTTGTTGTTCTTAAAACAGGTTTGATATTTTTTATTAATATCTATATATATTAATCATCCATATTAGATAAGTTTTTATTGCTTGATTGACCACTAGGGGAACAAAAAATTGTTATTGTTTATGATTTGATTTAGGATGTCTGGTTGTAGGTATATAAAAATTTACAAGAAGTAAACATTTTTAACTTATGATAAGTTTAATTCATGAGAGTAGTGAGAAAACAAGCCAATATTGGAGTAAATCAATGCACTTAATAATGATATTTACATAGGAATGCTATGTAATGCAAAAGTTTCAAGATGCCTAACAAATTTTTACGTTCGCTGTGCTCAGCTTACCTTAGCTTGTACTTATAAATAACTAAAATGTCATTTCTTCGTTGTCAAAATAGCAAGGTTTTGTGAATTTTGATTTGTTCTATAGAATTCGCTAGGTTTTTAAGTAAAATTAACATAATGTTAGGTTAGGATATACAGCGGTTTTGTTCATTATTTATTCCTCAAAAGTTCTGGGTTGAACTTGTGAAATTAACCGTATAAAACTGACTGAAATCGAATTCAAGTGAATCGTTGGTTGTGGTTATTGATTAACATTTTTTAACAAAACTTTCCAAATATATTTTACTAACAACATTACATATTTGTAAACTCCTTGTTTACTATACTTAGAGCTAAAATACTTTGTTATGTTTAGAATATGAAATCCGTATTCCAAACATATTTTTAAAGTACTAGAGATTTCTGAAATGGAATAATACTAGAGCCGAAAATGTTAGTCATCTAATTTATTCGTATATTAATCATAACTTAATCGCTGGTTCTTTTTGTATACAGAATGGAAATATAACCGATTTAAATTTTTTGTTCATAGTAACAGGAAAAAAAAAAAACATTTAACCGGCTATTATTTTTCATGTTAAAACATTCAAAGTACATTAAAAAAAACATTGATCGCAAGATTTTTTTAAATTCTGCAATTAATATGTTTCTGTGTGAGATACAAACACACAGAAATAAATATATATAAATATATATATATATATATATTATATACTATTAAATGCAAAAAAAAAAATATATATATTTTAATATTTATATACAGAGCAAATAAGTCCTATAATTAAAATAAGCCATACGTTTTGCTGTAATTAATACTTCCAACCTTGTTCACTTAAAGGTGATATCTATTTCCAAGAATAGTTTGTTATTGAGAACAAATAAAAATACTAACATCAGATTATGTAAAACAAAAATCTATTGCAATAGAAAATGTGACAGAGTGTTATTATATCCAAGAAATTGGAGTTTCCTTGACGTGCAAAATATAACAATCAAAATTGTAAAAAAAATCTTTCCTCGTCAGGACAGCAAGAATAAGGCAAATATTTTGATTTATTAATGTTATTGAATGCACTTCGTCTTGGTTTATAAACAATAAAGCTTAGCGCTATACATAAAGCAATTAAGGAACTTGTCTTTATACACAGTTTTTAAAGTTTTAAAAGAATATTGAATTCGCATTTAAAATTTTGTGGAATCAACTACTGATTATAGTTAAAGAGTTATACGGGTCATCTCAATAATTTTTTGAACTTAAATTTTAATACAAAAGTTTATGTCTAGCTTCTTGATATAATAAAATCGAATATATAACACAGGATGAAAAGGAAAATAACCACCTAAGGATATAAAATATTTATACAATTAATCGAATAAAACTGCAAAGCATCATAGTTAATTGAGTTTTGTTATTTATGTGCGACAAATGGTGTTATTAAATAAAAACAATATCAATTTACATATTCACCTGCTCTCGACCGCCTGGCAGACTCGTGCGTTTACAACTAATACGTGAACTACAAATGAGAGGATAATGGGGAGGTCATTTAAACGTTTTATTTTAATAACTCGGTCTTGTGAGATGCCGGGTCGTTTGGTTGTCCTTGGAGTATCAACATTTTTATTTCAATTCTACGTTCTTTTTTATTTAAATAGCATTAAGGCCTAATTTGTTTATTTCGGAAAAATATAGATTAAAAAAATACGTAGACTGACATGTGTATACTTAAGATAGAAATTACGGTGAGTATTTAATAGCTAAGCAAATTTTATATAACAACATACAAATCGTTCACGAAACTTTTATATGAAATTACGCACACAAGTATCAATTGATAATTACATAAAGTCTCAACCGTAACTCTATTCTGTTTATGTTGTACAGAATAGGAATGTATGTACAGAGGGCACTCGCATGCTTCGTCAGCTCAGACTTTAGAAGACGAACTTACGCAATTTAATCTCTTGAAAACAGCTTATTATGAGCTGTTCCAGTTGTTAGATTCCTGAAGATATTTATATATTTATGTTTAGTTATGTCGTATGACAGTAATATTATTGAAATGTTGGATTAGAATTAACATGGGTGGAAGATGATTTTATTACCTTGGAGATAGGTATTGATGGCTGCTTTTTATTCGTGTATTATATCAATTCATTTATTTATTGAATCTCTATTTTGATTGGATCCCTATTGTCAACCTTTATATGTACAATGGAACTATAAAAGGAATAATACAATGTTATGAAATTATGTCTTTTCGGTAGTTCTTTGGATTTATAAAAAAGAGGTTTAATTCTTTTTCTTAGGGTAGCAGTGCAACCTGATGTTTTTATTATTGTGGAGATTACAGAAAAATATGAATCAGGGTTTGTAAATGATGTGCATTTACAAACCTGATTCATATTTTTCTGTTAACTTAATTTAACAAGAATAGAAGAAAATAACATCTTACTACGTATTGAATCATTACTTTGAACTGCTGCAATTTAATTTATGATTACTGTAGATATACAAAGTGAATAAATATTTGAAACAGGTTTGTCAAGATTTGTTAGAGGTTTGAGAGACGTT